CACAATCTTAAAGTTTTCATGTTATAGGCTTTTAACTCTTTTCACAATTTAAAGTTTTCATGTTATAGGCTTTTAACTCTTTTCACAATCTTAAAGTTTTCATGTTATAGGCTTTTAACTCTTTTCACAATCTTAAAGTTTTCATGTTATAAGCTTTCAACTCTTTTCGCAATCTTAAAGTTTTCATGTTATAAGCTTTTAACTCTTTTCATAGTCTTAAAGTTTTTATGTTATAAGCTTTTAACTCTTTTCACAATCTTAAAGTTTTCATGTTATAGGCTTTTAACTCTTTTCACAATCTTAAAGTTTTCATGTTATATGCTTTTAACTCTTTTCACAATCTTAAAGTTTTCATGTTATAAGCTTTTAACTCTTTTTGCAATCTTAAAGTTTTCATGTTATAAGCTTTTAACTCTTTTCATAGTCTTAAAGTTTTCATGTTATAAGCTTTTAACTCTTTTCACAATCTTAAAGTTTTCATGTTATAAGCTTTTAACTCTTTTCACAATCTTAAAGTTTTCATGTTATAAGCTTTTAACTCTTTTCACAATCTTGCTAGTCTCCAATAAAAATTCTATTAAGGTTTAAGGATTTCAGGCCAATTTCTTTTAGTAATGTAAACTAACTAATGTGTTAGCTAATTGCATAAAATATTTTATGCCTCGTCTTATTTCTAAGGAACAATCTACTTTTTATTTTAGGATATAATATTCATGATAATATTTTAGTTATGCAAGAAATTATATACTTTTTATTTGATTCTAAATGTAAAAATCCTTATGTTTTCATGAAGATCGACATTGAAAAAGCTTTTTATAAAATTTCTTAGGCTTCTATTTTATTTTATTGACATCGAATGTATTCATGAATTGAATTGACAAATCTATTGTCTATCCTATTTTTTTTCCTACCTTATTAATGGTATATCATCTGTTGTTATCTTATCTTTTTCATTTTGGTCACTCAATTACTTACTTTTATCTTGAAAAATGAATGTGCTTAGAATCACATGACACCATTTTGTTCTAAACATGCTTTTTAGACTTTTATCAATTTTGTTTTATGCTAATGATATGGTTCTATGCTTTCGAGCTAATTGTAAGTCTTCTAATTTCTAATTTGAAAGTTAATCTTCAAAAGTCTAAGATTTTTTTTTTCCCGAAACAACTTGTCAAGATACTAAAAGAGATATTTATAATTTTTTTAGTATCAAGGAAGATAAATTTCTTTTCGACTGATCCTTCATTGCTCCTCGTCGGATTCTTAATCGGGTACTTAAGCATTCTACTCAAAATATTAAAAATAGATTAAGCTCTTGGAAAGCTAACTTCTAAGCATTCTAATCATTACTCTTGTGAACTCTGTGCTCAATTTGCTTCCTTTGCATACTTTTAAGTGCTTGTTGGATGTTTGATTCGATTCTTGAAGCTAACTTTTAGCATAAAGCTGACCACTCTCATGGTCTTCATATGTCATCTCGGGAGGTGATTTCTGCCCCCCAAAAGCTATAGGTGGTTTGGGTGTACACAAAACTTTATTTAACCAAATTTGCTTTACATGCTAAACGTATTTTATATGTTTTAGTGATGTTGATTCTATTTGGGATAGTATAGTCAAAGCTAAGTATGGTCACATTGATCATTGGAATTTATCTATCTATGCATGGTGATAGGGGTAAAAACAAATAGGACAGGACACACCGGATTTGACGTAACACCACCCGACGTCAGCCACTCCCGGACGGCACACTGCCCCAGGGGGGGCGAGCATTAACGCCGACATAACGTGCACCCTCGCTTACTGTACCCAGACGACCTCATCATCTGACCCCGCACGACCGGACGAGGCAGGGGAAGGCGTCAACCAAGGCTCGCCATACCTTGCGGCGACTGGACCTTCCACGCAACGCCCACGACGACAACGGACGCAGTCAGGTGCACGGCCATGTCCCGGCAGGATGGCGCATCAGGTAACGTCGAGCTCACCTATAAATACCCTTGGGCTCCAAGCGAGCAAGGGAAGCACACAAAGGCACGATTCCACTCTAAACTCCTCTCCTCATCACTAACTTGATCGTTGGAGGGGTCGGGCCGAATCGCCGACCCGACCTGTACGCAGGTACACAGTCGAAACCGATCCGACCTGACGGCGCGAAGCATCCCAGGGTGATTCCCTATAAACGACTGCCTCAAGATCCCGAGAGGAGCCCCGCCTGATCCTGACCGTTCGGACCCCTGGACCAGCCGTGTCGCCCCCAAGGTGACGGCTAAAAAAGTTACTTACCGTAACACATGGCAAACACAATTGGACTTGGAGGCTTTGGAACGGAAAAACTTAGACCTGATTTTATGAAATTTATTAGTTCTAATTCTTCTACTACCATTCTTTCTGATCCTTAGATATGAGCCATTTTTAATAATTTAATATCTTCTATTTTTGATTTATTTTTCAAAATGATCTCGTATGTACATCGATGATACTATCATGAAACCAACCGAATCTGTCGTAAAAACCAGCTCTAAGTTGGATTAAATTAAATTATGATGTTTTTATAGTTTTTTTTGGGTTTAGGTGTACTTTCAAAAGTGAAGCAACAATTATTACGAGGCAAAAATTCTATGATTACATCAAGAATTTTTATATGATTACATCTCATATTTCTCAGATCATCCTTTAGATTATTTGTTAGACCTCTCAATACAAGAATTGTGTGACAAGAAGGGGAACACGTGAGACAGATGTGTATAGTATGGACTAAGCTTGCCATGTAGTTTGATCCTACTTTACAGAGCTTACTACTACTACTACCTTTGACACTAAACAATGATACTGTCACGGAGCTTTAGAGTGCTACAACAATAACAAGCACTTCTACATTCTGAACTATGCTTGAATTGAGCATATACGAGTACAAAAATATATACAAACAGCGAACAATGTCAACTTTACGACAACAAACAAGCAGAATACTACATGACATGAAGCAGCTTCAGCAGCAGCAGCAGCAGCAATCAAGATTTTCTGTATCTTTTTCTTGTCTCAGTCTGCTATTGCCCTCCTCCTTCAAATGGCAAGTTGGAACCTAAGGTGAATAAATAGCCCTTCTAGCCAGCCAGCATCACAGGAATTGGTTCTAGCATCACAGGCCATTGAAACAGGTTCAAGGGCAAACTTTACACACAAGTGATGCCCAAACTGGAAGAAGATCTACCACCGGTGGACCACTACCTGTGATGCTCACACATCTGGCATGTGGTAGTAGACCTGGGGTTGGCGTAGGTGCAGCGGTCGCAGGACCAGAGATTGCCGTCGTCGAAGCTGCGGCTAGGAGCACCGGATCCGGAGCTGCTCCCAGCCACTGCTTTGATCTTCCCACTTTTGGATTTGCTGCCCAAGCTCTTGCAGCTTGAACTCTTGCTGCATGTCGCCTGGTTATTGGAAGTGCCAACATCTTTCAACCCAGTCTCCAGGGCTCGAACAAGATTCTCAAAATAGTTCTTAGTCACACTGATGTAGGACAAACACATACATCAATGAAAATAATATCAAAATCATTATAGTTAAATGTATCGATTTGTCGACAACAAATGCAAGCAAGAGTAAATGCTAGCATACAGTAGATACAGAGAAAAAAAGGTGGCTAGGTATCATGAATAAAATGAAACCATGATCTTTAAGGAGTCAAAAATGTTCCCTAATATGTTTGGTGCCTCCTACTTTAGTCAAATAACTACCTCAATAACTCACATTGAAACTTCCATATCCAGTATATCAGAGAGAAAACTAAAGTTCAAAATGCTATAAAGTAGAACATGAAACAAAAGTAGTTAAATGTTATGTATTCCAGACAACCAAGCAGAACATTGCAAGCGACCAGTGTACTGGGCACAGCAGAGAAAATATACATGAAAGTGACCAAATGAGAACAATCCAAGCTAAACGTACTAGTCATACTATAACTGTGATTCCCAAACTGGTCTAGCACTTGAATTAGTCAGTTTCATGATAAGTTATCAAGCATAATTTCTAGCGGAGTAACCAAGAGCAAAAAAGTTATATATGTATTCAACAAGGTTAAGTGCACACAACTTGTATAATTAACACCGTTGAAAGTGAAGAATTTATCAAGCTTGTATGCCAAAATCAAGAAGATAACTTTCTTATCAATATGAAATTACCAAGAGAAATACCTGTTGATATAGTATATCAGATTGGTGGTGCATTTAGCACTGTTGATATCCAGGGCTAAATGCACCACCAATCTGTTGATATAATCACAAATATCCATAAGTCAGAAAAAAAAAAGAAGGATAAAAGGTAATTCGGTGCCAAAAACCCCTGTAGCCCAACAGCCAAAGACACAAACCTAACTGAAAATTGGAGTCATCATCAAACCCTTTGCAAATCAATTAGAACTTGATACAGCTTCAATGGACAGTAAACACACAAGGGATATGCTCTCTTATAATCAGAACCTATGCTTTCTTAGATCTCCCCTGCTTACTAAAACAGGGCACAGATTAAAAACACAATGGCACAACTAGACTAGAGATCTCTATTTCATGGATACTCACACCTGGAAAATTCCCTGGTGAACTTTATACACAATCAATATAACTATTTACACTTAATAGTAAAACAAAGTAAACTATAACCATCCTACTAGACTGCCTCAAGAAAAAAGTCAATGTTGTTATTCTCTCACCATGAAGCCAGTCTGATTCGACTTCTACTTCATAGCTAAAATTTTTATCCATAAAAATTTGGTAGCCTCAATGCCAACTAACCCATAAGCCTAATCAGAGGCTTTTGAAACAAATAAAGAAAATCCAAAATAACAGACTAAAAATCAGTCTAAGACAAAGAGAAGGTCCTTTTCTTATTAACCTCGCCATACTATACAAATAACCTACATGGGCAGTGGATATAAATCCTAAGAAGACCAATATTTAAGTGGAATGAATTACGGTGATGGCATCCTCACACAGACCCGAGTGTTGGGCCTCTAGATGTGGAACCATAAAAATTTTCATGGATGACTTGGTCCACCTATGTAGCTTTTTTAAATCTCTTAATTCCCTATATCTTAGCAAGTAAAATGTGAGATGAAGCTACCTGGTCAGACCAGCTAACTTTGTACGGAAGTCATTAAAGTCTGTCATAGGACCTTCTGCATCAAGGTAAACTTGGAGTTCCTTTTCTGCACATTGATGAAGGCGTTCTAAACCAGACTCAGCCTCACCTGAAAAATGATTAAAGATGATTCTTAGTAATGAAAAATTATTCAAAATAATATTAATAGTAAAAAGCATATATTTGACAGCTACATAAAGAAGCAAGTACGAACCTTGCAAATATTCAAAGAACTGTCTCTTGGCATGTTCATGTTCTGGCAGGTAATAACCATAGGCATATGTCCACTTCAATACTCGCCTACACTCCACTATCTGTATAATGAAATGAAAAATATATCAGGAAAAGGAAGGTGAATCACATCCTGTCATTAGAGTTACATCATGTTTCTAGCATAAAGCTAACCTGTAACCAGGCTTCAATTATGAACTTGAGCTGGGATTCAGGTTGGCTTTGTGTGTCACTTAGCTTCTCAAGCTGCACAATTGAAACAAGTAGCCACTGGGTGCACTTCTTAATTCTTATAATGTATTATAACTGATTGTTTTATATTTATTAAGGGCCATCTTGGAGATGGTGGCTTTGGCAATTCTTATTCAGTTGATATGTGATGCCTTTTTTGAATGTGTACTTAAATGAAAAAAGATGATCTGAGGTCAGCTTCAAACAGACAAGATCAGTTATTATTGTTAGAAGCAGACAAGTCTACCAATACCACAGTTGACATGAGATATAAGTGCTTGAAAGTCGAAACAGCTCCGTACCTTTTCAGTTTGCATGCTGTGTAAATCTGCAAGTGCCTTCTGCCTTGACTGCAGGTTATAAAACATAATGTAAAGTCCAATCTAGATAATTCAATTTTTTAAAGGGACAGCCTATGTAACTAGCAGAGTGGACAAAAAATTATGCATAAACTAACACAAGGGAACAAGGATGCACCTATTTGGTAGTCAGTGCAACAAAATGTATTATGTCAAATAGGCCATAAAGTTATGCATTATTAAGAACAAAGAGACAAAATTACTACAATCATAAGTTCAAAGAAAAATAACAAGAAGAAAATGGTACCAATCTTTAGGGAGAAAAGCAAATGAGATGAACTATACACAGAATACCATTACCATGAAGAGTTGCAATGACATGCAAAAAAAGCCAAACCAGAAGATAAATAAGAAAACTATCCTATTTTTTATCTCAATAATAAGCTTCCTAAATTGGAGGCTTATACACACAAGATCCAAACACTAGCAATACAACTACAATGTGATGTTTCATTAAGTCCTTCATTGCTTAAAGCAAAACCAAGATTTAAACTTCCCCAAAAGACATGGATCAAGGCAAGACGTTGTGTTGCCAATGATCGATCATATATCAAGAATGCAGATAGTCAGAAACAAATTCTAGCAATAGTGTAAAATTTTTCCAGGCAATAACCCCAACTCGAGTTGCTTTTAATAACTTCAGGACTTGGACTAGTACAAGGGGATTAGTTAATCAAACTTCATCAAGCTGAAAAAACAAAGGTCCATTTGAAGAGAGATACCATCAATGAATTCATTAATTCATTATGTGATACCATCAATAACAAGATATGGAATCATCTGGAACACAGGAGAAAATAAAGTCAAACCAATTCAATCCATTGCAAAAACATTCAGCAAAAAAGGAACAACGTGTCATAGCCAAGTAATACTCTTAGTTACTGCAATGGATTCTGAAGTAAATTTATCATATTAAGTAAATGATACATCACAAAGTTCAGCCAGTACATGATGACATTGCACTACAAAAACTTCTTATAATTGAACAATAACAAAAGACATAATATGCAAATCAGAACTTCATTTACGAAACATATACAGTAAAACATTCTTTGAAGCTTGAAACATGTTTCTTGCACCTTTGTCAAGTTAAATAAAGGCATATGAAGAACAACATCACATATTAACATTATAACAGAACCAATGCCAGTAATGTCGAAATGTAAGCAGGTAGAAAACCATAAATGTATGACATTGATGATTGCCAACCATGTTACCAGCTAGCAATTGATGACTGGTTGACGCTCAATTCACTTTCAGCCACTACCAAGTAAATAGTTTAACATTAAACCCTTTAAAGACTACTGATTGACCAACTAGGAGCCCAACAGCCGGGCAGTGATCTAACTATTGGTATGATCATCATCAGTTGGCCAAAAAATATCTATCTACAAATGATCTGCTGGTTTCCTGAACATCAACAAGCAGAGAGTTCAAAATGATTAAAATGCAATGTTTTCTTTATCATTTGAATGGTAAACTAATGTCATATTTCATGTGCCACTTTCAGGATGTGGCTTTCTAGATTCAGCCACTTATAGGCAAAATAGTCCCAAAATCAAAGTATAAATCATCATGGTATCATAGATTTATAGATTCCTTGGACAAAGAAAACAAATTTAAACTACAGATGGGAAGGAAGAAAGAACAAAATTTACATACTGATTGATTCGTAGCCCATCGTTCATAATAATGTGTGTATCTCTCAAGAGAATTTTTAGCCATTTCTCTCCTCCTTTCAGATTCATCATACTGCAAGTATTTATAAATTGATGAGGATGCATGTGTGAGAATTGAGAATTCATATATTCCAATTCTAATCATTCCATAATCCATAGAATGAGAAAATTGCTAATCATACCGCTCCTTCCTGTTTTGCTGATTCGTAGCGATTACAAGCATAGAAACCACCAGTCCTCTCACCATGTTCTGACCATGGTCCCAGACATAACCTACAACAACAATCAAGGAACATATAAGCTGCAGAATTCACAAAAGAAGCCTCTAAAGTACCTATAAAGTGAAGATCTATTACCAGCAAAATTCAAATTTACAAGGAGGTGTGCATGTTATATGCATGCATCCCTGGTTTTTCTCAATTGGACGTTTGCACTTTGGACAAGGCTTCGAGTTAGCTAAAATCCTGATATATTATCAAAGAATATGATTAGCACAAAAAAATGCAATAATTAGAGTGTCATCCCTTTTATGTAATTGAATCACAAAGCCCATTGGGATATGATAACTGGAATAAAGTATATCGATAAGGTCAAAGATTAAAATGAGAGACCTGCTGGGGTTCATACACAACAGAGATGTAAAACACATGTTGACTGAAAAGTTAAAACATAAACTAAAACAAGATTTTTCACGAGCCAACAGTTCTTAGTTACTTATCAGTGGCATTTAATGTAATCTTTGATAACTATCTTGTTCATCTCATCTTATATGAAGTAACTAACAGTAAGCTGTATGTCAATATTGAAAATAGAATAAAAGATTAAAGGAGAGAGCACATATAAACAGTTTGTATTCACACACACTATACACAAATCCAGGAGAAAATGGAAGGAAAGGTATTCCTTTCCTTCCATTTTCAAAAGAACAGAGAAGATAACCCACCAGTTGGACCCTTTACAATTTATTAAAGATCATAAAATTCAGGTTTTAGAACTTTCAAAGAGGTGAAGACAAGACAAGTTCCCACAATGTCATAACAATACCTGTTTTGAAAACTGAACTTGTAGAAGTAAAGGAAGTCAAAAGGTCTACAAATAAAAATGCAAGCTTCAGCATTAGGGGTGAACTAACATCAGTATTCTGAAGCTAAAAAGTTGCAGAACTAAAGCTATTGATGAAGAATCAAATGAAACCAAACAGGACATAGAACTTTCCACAATAAAATGGGTATGCAAAGAAGCATAATATTAAAAAGGCTTAATTATTCGGATTATCATAGTTGCCAGAAGCTTAAATGCAATGCTCTACATATCATTACAATTTCCTATTGCACGTCTCTTGTCCAGCTCTATTTTACTCCCCTTCCTTCAGGGACAAGGAACAACTACTGCCTTTCTTTCAGCAGATTGCTTAGATTAGGGAGGAGATGATGTAAAACCATAATTCATCACATATCACTTCAAATAGCTGGTAGTTTCTGAGAGGTGTTTCTCTCAGTGGAACTTGATTTAACTAAATTTTGTATGCTTGGCTTGGAGTTAACTCAGTCAGTTGGAAACAGTTCGTTCACTGTTAAGATAGGTCCAAGAATGCTGCATCAATTGGATCTTGTCAATTGAAATGGGTTGTACCAAAATAAACCAAGCTCCATTGGACTGATGAAACATACCAAGGACATTAAGACATTAAGCAGCTTCTCCAATATCCGGATCTTAACCTCCATGCCACCTACCAAAGTCGGAAAGGTGCTCTATGGAAGTACAAAATTGTGGCCTCTCTGAATCAAGGTTCATTTCTAAAAATATCCTATAGTTGTTTCTAGTGGAACTGCAATTCAGGCCTCCAACTAACTCTGAGTGGAAGCACCCTAAGGTGCACTATGATCTCTTAAAGCATATACTTCATACTTTAAAAAATAAGTTGTCTTTTATTATCAAAGTGCTCCCCTCAAGAGAGGAATCTGCAATCCTTTAAGCTATAATAATGACTGAATAACCAGGATAGGATGCTCAAGGTAGCGCTTGCAAATAAAGTTGAGCATAAATAGGACAAATAAAGGCTTTCAACATGCCTGTCATTTGTCGCAAGAACACCTTGCTATGTGGTTGGGCACATGACCAACACAGCATGACACCAACTGACCAGGTGCAGCATGCACTTAATACATGATAATACAATGGTACAATGGTCATGCAGCAAAGCAAAGAATATCTGTTAACATATAGTTAACTACAGGAATTTAAATATAATGAAGGAATCAACTTTGCAAGAAGTATCATCAAATCAGACTAAAATTAGAATTGAAGAGAGTGAAATGTATTACTGAACGTAACACAAATATCATAACTGATATTGTAGGGAACAGCAGTGAAGGCAACAGATAAAAAGGACATTTATCTATTATATCCTGTACCAATTCATATTTTCAGATTCAGCACTGTTCTTCAAAATCCACTTTGCTACAGTGGCACAGTCAACTGGCCGGTGAGCTTCCTCGGCACACTGCAATTTTTATTTTAACAGCTCAGAATAAGGAGAGATGTAAGCATACTTCTAATAAGATTTATAATGTGTTGCCAAAGGTAAACTTACATTCCAGCAAAAGCTATATGAGCAGCTGCAGCAAACATCATAACTTCCACTGCCAATAACAAACTCTACAGCAAACTCACAACCAGGGGCAGGACACCATTTTATCTATAAAACGAATTAAAGAATCAAAAAAATTGTGAAGAAAATGAGAGTGTAGCCAGAAACTTCATCGAGAATTTCACAAGACAACACAAGGACATTTTCAAACCAAGAATTAACCAAGGTTTGTTGTACCACCCAAGTAGGTACGGTATGGGCGGTACGTGCCGGTTCGACTCGCTACCGAGACATGGCTTGCCCGAGTGCCTATCGGCATGCCCCAGCATATCATGTATTGGTACACCGGTATAGACCGATATGTACCATACCAACAAATCTCTGAGATGGGTCTGGTACCGGAAATGGCAAACCCTAGAATTAACAATATAGAAAAACAAAAGTGCATTGACAATAGCCTTTGCACCGGACCACCCTGTCCTTTTGCAACTCATAATCACATTAAAGTACAACTTCTATTGATTTTAGAAAAAAAAAAGTCATCATAGATGCCATTACTCAGTCTTTCAAATTTCAGTGACAGGCATGAGCTGGACACAAGAAAGAAAGAAATTAAATAAAATTTTGGATAAAAGTTATAAATCTCGGACCGATATTGATTCAGCAACCCGTTTGATATAATACTGGTATACCAGATGGTAATACCAACATGAACCACCTACAAAAATAATTTAAAATTAAATACCAACCAGTATTGATCCTTGGTCACACTACTAAATATTAATCAATATATATTGGTTTGACTTGGACCAATATTTGAAACCCTGATTTCTAAATCCTTAAATTATAAGTGTCATGTGTACCTTACCTTTCTGTTATCTTCAACATAAGATCTAAGAAGATATCGTGAATACTTCTCTTTATCTTCGCCAGTAGTCAAGACATCAATCATGTTTCGACCAACAGCAGCACCACAAGAAGGATCAGGGCATCGCAACATTAAGCACCCAGGGCCATCACTTATAGATGTACTAATGTAACCTGCAAGTTGGAAGTGTATGATCAACCATCAAACAAGAACCCTACATAAAATACCTCAGCTTCAAATAGATTCTAAAGAATATTCTATCAAGTTTTCTAGAACAAAGGCACAGCACAGAGATGCAATTCTTAAAAAATATAGTTTGAAATATCTTTAAACAACTCAGAAAGCATACAGAAGGCCTGATAGAATTTAGGGTTAACATGTTACTGTAAATAAATTACACAAGATGCAGGCTTTAGAAAGTCTGGAATCCAATTCCTTATGACCATCATACTATCATCATAAAATCAGACCTTTTGATCATTGGTCCCAAGTAACTTCATACTTGATATCAAGTGATATATTCCTATGAACAAGAGCAAAAAAATGTGCAACTGGCATGGTGATATCAACTGGCATTACGACAAAAAATGTTCATATTAGCATTCAAATTGGAACCAAAATGCCTACTTATCTTAAAGAACAGGTGCAAAAACATATTTTATAACTGCAAAGTGAAGAAAATCAGACCTAACTAACACCACAAACATCGGTTATAAAGCCATGATAACAACTAAAATCAAAATAACAGACCTCTCCAGCAAGCCCCACAAAAAGGATGACCACATGAAGCAGAACTCATCCTGCCACAGGGATAGTTTTCAAAACAAATCCCACAAGTCAGCTGCCACAAGCAAAGTCAGTCCATAAGGGGGAAATCATTGAAAATATAAAAAATAATTCCATCTCAATGCCCAAATATCCAGAAAGGGATAACTAATACTATACTAACTTCTCTAGCATTCAAAATCTCCACTGTTCTGTCCAACAAACCAACAGCCTTCCGAACATGCTCTTCATCTGCAAACCACTCATCATGCACCCTACTAATACTCCTGCATAATCGAAATAAACATGCAATCCATATCATCACAACAATAATGAACAAAAAGAAGTAAGTGATAGAGGAAGTTGTTTAGCATAGAAATGCTGAACTACTAGTTCAGCAGTAGGTTTTTTGCTACTGCAATTATCAAAGAAAAAAGGAAAATTTATCCTCATTTACAATGTAAAGAACAGAAACCAGAATGAGGCATTTCAAACAATGCAAGAATGTTGATTTCTAAAATCATTTTCATAATATTTTTATATAGGTCTTCTAAATATTTGCTTCTCCAGAATAGGGGAAAATTCTTTACATCTCAATGTTCTTATTCAATATGCAAGCTCACAAGGAATTCCATATCCCCTGAGATTACTGATGACACAATTAATCATAATATATACTTTGATAAAGAGTAAGCTAGAACCTATATCCCTACATTTTGCCCTTGAATAAAGTACCAAACGTTTGCAATAGAAACTTCAAAATACAGCCATCTTTTGAAAGGTGAACATATGAAGTTAATCAGTTTCTCTGGTTCTATTAAAAACCTTGCAGTCTGTTTTCACTGTCTCCAAATAGATGGGAGGGTTTAAGGCATATGGCATGTGCTGACCATGTTACTTTTGACATAAGGTCATCATCAGTTAATTAACTAAATATATACAATTGACTCAGATTAAATATCATTAAGAGATAATAAATAAAAAAGGTGGTACAAGAACATATTATTTTATAGTTCCCAACTTCATATTCTATAAACATCTGTAATAAATCAATGAGCTAATAAGAGCACATCTAATATTCTATTGCAACTTTGGTAGTTAAAAGAAGTGGTACTCTATTTTGTATTGTACTCTAAAATAGTGATAGCTAAAAATAAGTGAGCAATGTATGCAAATATTTTAAAAAAGATCCACACAGAAATTTCCACTTTATAAGTTAACACTCTTACCAGTTATAATGACGAAGAAGAATGCATGCTGCATATCTTGGTATTGAAAGTACAGTAGATACTCTATTAATATTTTCATCCTGATGCTGCCGAATATCAGCCTCACTCAAAATAGTATAGTTTTGCTGCCAACAGAAAAGTGCTGAACAACATTAGATGAACATAATAATGAACCATTTACCAGAATTTATTCTCAATATAAAAAAGGACCTATTTCGAAACTTCCAACTATTACTTAAAAGCATTTATTTCATTAAACATTACCAAAAGCAAATAACAATTTTCTGAAAGCAATTTATGAAGCCATATATGAGTATACCTCAAATGACTACCTCGCATAAGCCCAGCATGACCTTAGTATGCAATATTACTGTACATGCAAAAAAGGGGCTGCAAATTCTACGATACACAGTCACATGACTGCACATAAGGCCTACGCGACCTTGCTATGTGGTGTTACCATATATGTAAAATATGCAGCCATATATTCAACTGTGCTTACCTCTGTGGCTAAATGAGGTGTATGCATTAGAAATCAGTCATCTATGGTATGTGCTTCTCCCTATTTATCATAAATATTTTACTACTATAATTAAATACTCCGATACATGCTCCATGATGATATAACTTTAACTAATTAAACCTTTATTTGTGCTGTATAGTTTATAAGCCATCAATTTTTTTATTTGGCCATAGCATACATTCATCTATAAATAATTTTAATGCAGATTATATATTTCTTTGGTTGTACTTATAGAAATAACAAATGCAGTCCCTGCTGCAAATGCATACTTTACAAGCAATATTAAATTCCTGCAAACAATGGCAACTTTATAACATTGGCAAATAATTCCATGCCAAGTGGAAACATCATAAATGTCAAACCAACTTAGAGCATTCTAAAGTCTACACTATATACTACAACTTCATATAAAATTGTAGTGCTCGAAAATGTAGTTGTAGCACTATCTATTGCTAAAACAAAACCACTGCACAGAAATTGTCAAGCAATTAATTACTTCCTACCTATTGTTTGTGGTGCTGACTACTAAATAGCAAATACAGAAAAAAAATGCTTATAAGATATCTTGGACTGAAAATTGTTTCTTTAATCAAGAATTTATTTTTGGCCCTTGTGATTCAGGTCAATTTAATTCAATGAAAAAAAAAGATCAATAAAACATAATAAGAGAAAAAAAGCATGATTCTAAGTTTATTGCACACTTTGGCCCATACTGCTATGTGCAGTAAAAATTTTATTTATATGAACCAGTGGAATGATACCAGAGCTATTGCCTCCATTGGACTGACTATGGTACTAAGTGATTCCAAGCAATCGATACAATAGACTCCTCATGATATAGAACAATCATGCTAATGTCACTGAAACACCACCATCTACAGAATTAACAAACTGTATAAGAACACCTGGGTCTTTTCTAATCAAACCTCAAAATGATAGAAATGCCAAAAAGCCGCATATGATAATTGTAATGGCAACAGGGGAATATAGTGAGCTAAGGCCATAGTTACCTAGAACACGTAACATTCTGTGACATGGTATAATCTCATGTACGGGTACATGGGATGTGTTTAATTGGATTCTTATCTCAAAATGTTGTGTTAAATCACTTACATTGCTTGATAAATTTAGTAAAATATCTTGTGTATACAAGCAAAAAATTAGGTCAGAAACAATGGCCAACTTTTTTATGAATGGAATACACAATAGGAATTCTGGATTAACAAAGCACAGACACATCAACATGTTTATTGTGTTTGTGTTGTCTCCCTGCAGAGACCTAGGCCAGAAATTTGATAGTAAATAACTTTGGCTTTTGACATGAAATTTGATAGTAAATAACTTTGCATGACATGAGGAACATAAACAGTATGGCAAAGACAACCAAAATATAACAAATAGTATTACAGAAAAATAGAATCACATATTAATTGTCCTTGATATTCTCACTCAACATCTAACATCCATCTTCTCAATGTTCAGCATGTGAACTTAATGAAGCAGATGAACTTTAAAACAAAGATGGGCACAATTCCACAACATCATTGCAGTTTGTATTCACCTGGTAAATCGTTATCTACAATAATGCGCAAGAAACATAAAGACAGTAGCTACAAGAGATGAAAATTCATGTATTCAATCTGAAAATAATGAATCTTTCAAAGAAAGAAGTGCCATTATCATCTCCTATGTAGTTCTTTTGACACCAAATCAACAATCTCGTACCACATAAATCTATCCAACTTCTAGGCCAAGCCAAGAACTACGTTATAAGCCTAGAGAGAATCGTGCCACCAATCCGATTACAATCTACAATGATTTGGTTTTACAAGCAGCTAATTTGGCTCCTTCACGCATCAAATTAGGTTCAAGGATCTCTAACACCACCACCAAAAACATGAAAGCACGGGCATTAGAAAGGGAAGGAAACTAAAAAAATAGGGATCTTTTTCGCATCCCCTCACCTGCTGGCGATGGGAGGTGACATCCTCGGAATCATCCGAATAGTTATCGCCAAAATTATAGTCGTCGTCCTCGCTGCCCATCCCCGTCTCCCCGGTGTAGAAATCGTCCTCCACCGACTGGACGTCGTTCGCGTCGTGCATGTCCTCCTCCGAACCCATCCCCTCCGCCCGGAGCCAAACTCAGCGCCCTCAGAAACCCTAAAAACCCGCGTGGGTAGGCGATCGTGCAGAAAATGGTTGGGATCAGCGGGCCAAATCGATTGGAGAAAGAGGGGGAATGGGATCGGAATCGAGGGACGGAGAAGAGGGGAGATTGTACCGCGATAGCGAGAGGGGAAAGGGCGATTGGGATCTCGTTATTGGATTTGCCACTCTTCAAAGAGAGGTATCTCTTCGCCCTTTTATAGATGAGGAGAAATAGAGCGATGCGAGGAAAAAAGAGAGGGATGATGGACTTACCATGATAACAAAAAAATGATAATTAAGGGAGAAAAATATTAGAAAATTTATCAAATAAAGCCTCTCATAATTTTTTTGATATTTTATTTAAAAGACTTCTTCCAAATAATTCCCCCAATTAATTTTTGCCTGTAGCTTTTTTTTTCATTGATTTAATCAAATATCCCTTCTCCTCATCTTCTCATTGGTTATCTCCATCATCACAAGGGAGGAGATGACAAGCAACGAGAAAGGACACGTTATAAAGGAGAGTGAGCAAGGAAAAAGTAGAAGAAGGGAGGAGGAGACGAACGATACGGAAGGATGAGCAACATGAGAAGATGAGGAGAAGGGAGGAGAGGTCATGAACGGTCATCACGCACTCGTAACATCTTCGTCAACGAATCGTTCGTTATTTTTGTTTGCTTGTACATATGTTTGACAATATATTTTATCTTAATTTTATGTGTTTTTATTTAAAAACTATGGACTGAAATAATTTACAATGTTACCGAGCAATCACTCACCATGACAAGCAAAATTGCCCCTAAATGATTCCATTTTCACGTGTCATGGTATATTTTCTACATATTACGGTGCAGTGCAAAACATAAGTCATCTCAACACCTTGTAACCTCCCAGGTGGCACCGGACTAAATTAGGGTTTAGGATAGTGTTAGGTGTTAATTTTGATTTCATAAGTTCACATGTTCAACTTATGGGAATTTGTCATCACGCTCGACACCCGATAAGCAGTTGTATATGGACTTACGAATATTCGTTGGCCTTCTAAAGTCTTTATTTTCTCTTTTCTCTTTTCTCTCTTTTTTTTCTTATACATCGAGTATTTACTAAATTACTTATAAAGCTGTCCTCTTCGCGAGATGTCAAAACTTATTTGTTGCTCACTTTCGAACTAATCAATTAGCTCCTTTATAATTCCTTTTAAGACCGGAGCGAAGTTATAACTATGCTGGCCCTTTGCAGATGGCTAACATAAGAGTGTCTCATGACTTAGACAATTTTAATTAAGTCTGTGACATTATGGTATCAGAGCGGGCAAGCAATTTGAGTAAATAGTGAAAAGTTTCACAATCTCGATATGGCGAAGCATTATGACGAATCAAGCAAGATAGGGCAAGCCGGACGATTGCCCCAAGCAGCCACAGGTGGGTTGCAAATGCAAACTTACTCTCAAACTATTGGAGCTGCTTAAGAGAAGCGCGATAGTGAATAAGATGAGTGAGAAGTTGGCTATTCTCTGCGAGTAGAGGAAGCACAATCGAGAGTGCCAACCAAGAAAAGAAGCATGGAGAGACTAAAAATGTGGAAACCCATCTTGACCTCTTTGAAGCAAGTTTCAAGGAATTCTGCTAATGCCAATAAAGACTTCTTGAAGTAGATAACTCGTAAGAAAAAGGAGAATCTCGTATCAAAAAGGTCGAGTCTCAAGTTAATCAATTGATGGAGGACACCAATGATTTCCTACAACATCTATATGAAGTCATGACAGAAGTCACATCTAGGGTTACATTGCTCATAAAGGCTCTTAATACAGGAGGGAGCAATACTTGCATTGCTCCATCACAAAACTTGATGACACTTGGACCACATTGCTACGAGGGTGCCAGGGATGCAAAGGAGCATGAGGATTTTTTATTTGATATAAAACAGTACTTCTAAGCTATGAGGTTTGATTCTGAAGAAACCAAAGTTTCGATACTAATCATATATTTAAATAGGGATATAAAACTTTAGTAGGTAATACATTAAAAAAAGATCTGATAAGGTTGGTGTCAAGTGGACACATAGGAGGACTTAAAGTAGGAGTTGAGAATTCAATTCCTACTCGAGAACACAAAGTTCATCGCAATAAGAAAGTTGAGACAACTCCGCCAAAGTACTTCTATTTGGAACTATGTAAAGTGATTTTCTATACTAATGATGGACATGCAAGATATATTCGAGAAGGACAAACTGTTCAGCTTCCTCGATGGTTTGAAGTCATAGGCATAACAGAAACTACATCAAAGGGATGCCATCTATATTATCAGGTAAATCACAATTGCATAAAAGTTCACCAACTTTGTTTCTTCGGAGGACTCGGGGAAGTAGAAACAATCTTTTAAAAATCACCCATCCAAATATTCCCGAGAGAAGGAATCCAAAAGTGAGCAAAAGAAAAGAAGTTTCCACAAAGGGCCAAGCTCAAAAGGTAATGCTCCAAAACCTGATAGATGCTTCTTGTGCGGAGGACAATACATGATGAGGGAGTGCCTATAAAAGCAAGTACTGAATACCTTAACAGCATCAATCCACCCCCTAGATCGGACAAGGACAGGGCCATCACTCTTAGTTCAAGAAGTCTGAAATTTAGTAGCGATGATGAGGTGTTGCAAGGACCCCGAATAGGAGCAATGCATTTGTTAAATGCGTTACAAGGTCAAGTGGGGGAGAACATGAAGATGAAGTCATAGAAAGTATAGAGCAGTGAGTTGATATATGTGGACATCTAACTATGAAAGCCATGGGCACTACACATAATTTCATTACTGATAAGAAGCTAGACGACTTAGGCTGAACTTAAAAAAGAGCCCGAGTCAAATGAAAGCTATGAACTTGGAGACTAAGTAAATCTTTGAGCTGGCAAAAGAGGTCCCTATCAAGATTGGAATGTAGAGTGGAAGCACAAACATCATAGCAGTGCCACTGAATGACTTCCAAGTGATTCTTCGAATGAAGTTCATGCATACGATGAAGTCAGTGCCAATATCATTTCTAAACTCCCTATGCCTAATGGGAGGTGACGACCCCTGCGTGGTTCTAGTTTCTTGAGGAGAAACTAAGAACCCATAACAAATATTGATATTACAACTGAAGAAGGGGATACAAAAAGGTGAATTAGCTTTTGTAAATACTGTAAAGCAGGAGCCACTTGATGTGGAGGTCATTCATGATCTTGGTGGCGAATGCTTTAAAGAAGTTCATTGATATTAGACTACTCAAGTTGTCAAAATCTCTACTACCATATTGAGGTGTAGATCATCACATCAAGCTAGAGCTAAGAGTAAAGCCTCCAATGAGACCACCATATCACATTGACTCTCTAGAGTTGGCAAAGTTTAAAAAGCAATTATATGAACTACTAAGTGGTGGTCTCATTCATAGTTCCAAAGCACCATTCAAAGTTTTAATCCTCTTCAAAAAAAAAAAGATGGAAGCCTCCGATTATGCGTCGACTATCAGGCCCTAAACAAGATGACAGTGAAAAACAAATATCCTATCTTACTCATCGTAGACTTATTCTACTAACTAGACAAAGCAAAAATATTTCTCTAAACTAAAATTTTGGTTGGGTTACTGGTAGGTGCGCATTACTGAAGGTGATAAAGCTTGCTGAAGGTGATAAAGCGAAGATTACTATGCAACCAGGTATGGAGCATTCGAATTCTTAGTGATGTCTTTCGGCTTAACCAACGCTCTAGCCATATTCTGCACTCTCATGAACTAACTATTTAAGGAGTATTTGGATAAATTTGTGGCTACTTGGGTGATATTATTATTTATAGCTAAACGCTTAAGGAGCAATCGAGTACCTTCAAACAATTGTTAGGATCAAGTCGGCACTAAGAGAGGGGTGAATTAATACTTTTGGAGAACTACGTCAATCGTAAAAATTCATACGATAAAATCGTATCGAAAAAACATTTAAGCTTAAAGATGTTCGTGGGAGAGTGATGAAGATGTAAAGTAGTTGCAAAGTAAGTAAATAGCAAAGAAGAGAAGGCACACCAATTTTATATTGGTTCGGTCATTGTGACATATGTTCACTCCTGATTCCTCTTCACTCGAGGCCACCGGCTTCCACTACCAACCTTCTTTCCAATGGGTGAAGATCAACTACCCTTACAACTCTTTCTCCTTTTCACATGTTTAAGAGAGAACCTTTACACCCCTCTATTACAAGTATTTCCTCACACTCTCCCTTAGAACAACCTCTAAGCATATGGAGGAGAGAACTCAACTTTCTAATAGAGTTTGCAACCCTAGAATCATAGAGTTTTGGTTCTACTTTCGTGCTTTATCAAGCAGGAAAGATTGAGATATTTATAGTCTCCAAATGGATTTAAATTTAGAGTCAAAACGATCTCATCCTAGGTTTTCGGGGTACTGACGGTACCATCGCCTGCCAAACTTACAACTGGTGATATCATCGCCTATTCAATATGATAATATTTGATAAATTCAAGATTATATCTTTAATATATATTAAAAAAACTATAAGCTCAAGAATATTCGACATAAATGTAGTTGAGTCATTTCTCGTATAATTTATTTTTAATTTTATTTCTTTTTAATTTAGCTCATTTAAAATTTATGATAATAAAATTAAAGATAAATGAAACTTAAATGAGCTAACTAGTATATGTATTTAGAAAATATGAAAACTAAAATAAGAAAAACTCATAATATTTTGGGTACTACAAAATAAGTGGGTAACAATAAAAGAAAGCTAAAGCGTAAATGACATTGGAGTGCCTAATTTGCTAGAATCTATTCATATGGACCTTGCTGATGCTATGGTATATTTTTCAGCCCATAATGTTGTCTCATAGTTTTCAACTCAGCCTATTCAATTATGATAGCTCATGAGCATATTCCCTATAAGGACACTTGCCATTTTTGATTATTATATGTTATATCTATAAGAATCATTTAGGAATCAAAGATATTTTTTATTATTTTCATAGGTTATAAAAGGTATATGATTCTTGATTCATGATTTTAACATCAAAAGATACATATCCTAAATTTGATCTATTATTATTTGATTTTAATTTTTTGATATTAATTTTTTTACATAATAATAGTATAATCATGATTTATATGCTTATAATATGTACATAAAATATTTTAATATATAGTAATTTAAAAGAAGCTTTTTCTTAGAACTTTTTTTGATGTGCTTTTTCTCACATTGGATGTGTATTTGGATTTATAATCCATAAAAAAGATTGGTTGTCAAATTGACAAGAAGTATGAAAACGAGATTCATCTGTGATGTGCATGAGATTTGATTTCAATACCTTGCTAGCGACATTTAAAATACGTCGAATCATATATCATCACATCAATATTTCGTCTAGGAATGCTAATTGATCTGCATATGCATCAAAATTCTCTTGCATTATTTTTTTGTGGAAATCAACCATACTTAGGGTCATTTGATTGGTAGTGTAATCCAACAAATTTGGATAACACGTTCCGTTAATTTGATCATTAATCAGCTAATAATTTTAATTATCTGAGTGGAAATCCAAAGCAACTGAGTATTTTCTTAGTGCATACACCTAAAACTCTTCCAAGTCAGCTCTATACGGAACCTCAAATTTGGATCCGTTAAATTATCGGGTCTGATGTGAATCGAAGAACCAAGCACCTACTTCTCATTTTAAGATGCTTGGAGGAGTGACTGTTGTATCCGATCCGGCCAGCAGAATCTTCCGCCAACACGAGCGGCACCCGCGGAATCCGCTCCAAGGCTGAACAAAAGACACGCCGAATGACGTACGGTTTCGCCACCAACGACACGTGGAGTGGGACCTTCACGTCCCTCGGTGTGATGTACTCCGTGGTGTAGGAGCGACCGAGGGTGGCTTAATTTCCACGGGTTATTAACAGCCACGTGTGTTTTGTCGCCCTCCAACTGCTGTCGGCACCACGTGGCAGCTCACGATTCGGAAAAAAATATATATGTTATTGTCGAAAAAAATATTCTTAAGATAAAGCTGAAATATATTATTATTAAAAATTAAAATGGTAAAAAAAATTGAATTGGTTAAGTGTATTTATTTTAATAAAAAAGAAAAAAAATAATTGAAGTATAAAAAAGGACATACACATCAAACGTGCTTCTTTCTAATCCTTCGGCCTCCAGTTTTGAGCAACACAAACGGAGCCCAATTCTGCTGCTGCATCATTCTTTCTTCAAAGCCATTTCCTACTCTGATGATGACCCGAAAGAGACGGACAGACGGACGTCTCTTTAGCCTCGCAATCTGTGAAGCTTCGTGGAACCTTTGTGAGCACCTTATCGTGCATGGGGGAGGGGAGTGGAAGGCAAAGAAGATGAGGCAGAGGGCTTATCTGGATATGCCTGCTGAGTTGGAGTTGCATCATGAGAGCATATTTCCGTGATGAGGATTTGTGCTGCAATGGGTTGCGAGTTAAGTGGGAGAGAAAGCCAAACAGAACATATTCCGATTTAACTTAAGCTGCTGCTGCTGATTGGGGGGTTGTCTTTGTTAACTCCTCAACTTGCATTTTGGAATGAGTCGTCCATTATTATTATTATTATTATTATTATTATTATTATTATTATTATTATTATTATCATCATCATCTTACTAAGACCAAGGTTTTTGGTAATGAAGACTATCATTACTATATTATACTCAGTGGCATCAATCCCCTTTAATTATTGACATATATATATATATATATATATATATATATATATTTGGTAATTAAAGTAAGATGACTTCTTTACGACTTAGTAAATCTCTTTTTTTAATTAATATATATTATTAGAATATATTTTTTTATTGTCATGCATGGCATGCCATGCCATGCGATGACATCGCCATGCATCGCATCATAAGCTCATATAAATTTTGTACCCCCGACGTTGCCATGGATAAGAGAGAGAGAGAGAGAGAGAGAGAGAGATGGGGAGCTACTGCTCTGAAGCAGAGTGCCCTGTCTCGAACGATGACCCTAAGCCCAGGAGAGCGAGTAAGAAGAAGAAGAAGAAGAAGAAGAAGGGGCAGCGGAGGGCTCAAGAGGAGGAGGAGGAGATGGTGGAGAATGGGAGGGATGGCAAGGCGTGGGAGGCGGCTTGGCCGCGAAGGAGTCGACCGGGCGGTGGCGGGGTGGTGATGTTGGAGGGATACGTGGAGGCGGCGGAGGGGTTGGATCTGGGATCCGACGTAGGAGGAGATGGAGTGGGGCGGACGATGAGCCTGACGGACGACGACTTGGTGGAGCTCAAAGGGTGCCTGGACTTGGGGTTCGGATTTAGCTACCGCGAGATCCCGGAGCTATGCCACACGCTGCCGGCTCTGGAGCTTTGTTACTCCATGAGCCGGTCGTTGGAGGTCGATGGCGGCGATGCAGCGGCGGAGCCCTGTGCTGCCGCGGTCGCTTCCCTTCCCGTTTCGAACTGGAAGATCTCCAGTCCCGGTAAGATGAGATTTCTTTTTCTCTTTCCGATTCAAAGTTGTGTCCTTTTTGAACGATCTTTGCTGTTTTGTTTGAGATTCTGCGCAAAGAAATCAATTTGACTAGATATATTGGAGTGATTCATGAGGGGATCCTTCTCTGGAAGAACTACAAGCGAAAGACATTAGTTTTCGCCAAGGAATGACTTCATGCTGTCTACTATTGCAGGAATTCCTTTTCGTGGTGAACAATAAATGAAACATTTACTTTCAATTCACAAAATATTGATTAACTTTGTTGAAAGAGGGATTGATTTGGTGAGATTTCCTTTCAACAAACGAGATATTCATTCTTCTTTTCCAGAAATTGCTTACTTTTGTTCAAGAAAGGATAGGAATAATAACGAGTATACGGGGCTTTGGTTTTTTGAAGGAGTGTAAGAATTTAGACACCCCTAAAGGGGGAGAGAGAGAGAGAGAGTTTTTATGGAAGCAGTTCCTTCTTGACGGAGTCGAATAGTGCAACAATGAACTTTCCTTGATAAATTGTAGATAAAATGTGAAATCGAACCACTGAATTTTCTCTATCTGTGGATGCTGTGTGTGTTCTCTTCAGGATTTTGGTTGATTTTAGATATTTTTCGGCAACTACTGCATATCCAAATGTAATATATTCTCTTTTCCTTTCTGGAGAACCATTGACATGTAAACTTTTCCTGAACAATTTCTATATCCTTTGCTCTTATTGTCTTGTTTCTGTTTTGTTATTTTTCTTGTATTTTCTTGTTCTTATATCTAATAAATTCTTCTCTAGGGTCTTTTCGCTAGCCTTCTTCTCCTCAATCGTAAAAGAAGAGGAAAAAATATCCATTCTTTAGTCAACTTCGATCGCATAGCCTTTATAATTTACTTGATTTTCTATAGTCGATTACCACAAACTTTTGGATGTAGAAGCTAATTTTAAGGCGTGACATATTAGTACAAAAAATTCAATTAGTTTGATCGATATACATGATATATATGTTGGGAGTTAAATCCGGCACAGGTATAAATCCATTTAATTTCAATAGTGTTATTAGTTAGTTTGCTGGTAGTACAGTAGAGGTGAATTTATCATTCCTCTTCTGATCTCAATTTGCAGTAATCAAATAAATACCTAATTTGCACTCAGTGATACTAAGCAAAACTACATAACTAGCTCTGTAGTTCACTTCTTAGTTTCCTTTTTGTTCTTTAGACTGGATGATTGATTCATAGATCATTTTCTTTTTTTTTCCTGTGTACTTCCAGGTGATCCTCCTGATGAAGTCAAAGCAAGGCTAAAGTTTTGGGCCCAAGCAGTGGCTTGCACTATAAGATTATGCAACTGATGGACCAGTCTGGGGTCATCCTTGGTGTTGGCAAAGTATTATCTTTGATGATCAGCCAATGGGACTTTGCAGAGCAAATTCTCTACTTGTGCCTTGTTGCTATATGCCTTCATAGACGCTCTGCGATTCTTCTCTTGCGAACAGCGCCGATGGCCTCTGATGCAAAAGAAGCACAAGAGGCACAGAAGCATGTGTGAGGCCTGGACTGAATGATATTATCATGTGGATCTGCATTCATGTACCCAGAACTATGATGAACAAAACACTTTCCTTTCCTAAACTTCTGCAGTGTGGTGTTATTGTTTGTGGCAAATTGTTGCGGTAGAGCTGTTCAAGTAAGTCTATTTGTTCCACAAGCACGCCATACCGAACAGAAGGACATGAAGCTTAGGAATTGGATGCTAAACTTCTGCTATTGAAGCAAATGACAGTCTGATTTGCTAATTTTTCCACTACAATTTAGCTCTGCAGCTTACAACAGTCATCTTCATTTCTGTCTACAGCATAGGCAGGTTTTTTTTATGTGATTTCTTTTTGACATAAGGAGATCAAAATAAGAGTTTTTCTTCCTAGTGCAATTGTGATTGTGTTGCATTTGATGAAAATGTCAACTGAAGCAAATTTCTGCATTAGATATATGTAATTCATTTGTTGTTCATTCTGATATTTTTGTTTCCATGTCCCTGTTGCTATCAGTATCCATAGTCTTGTATTTTGCTCCTAAGTCTCCCATTTGCTTTCTTTCTGTATGAAAGATTTCCAAGTCACTTAATTTGTGGTTTTGGTATCTTAAGTCAAGCTAAATAGAATCTTTGGACTATATAAGACTATTGAGTGTAGTATAGAACACTTCTATAAGTAGTTTTGATCCTTTATATAATATTTATCCACTTGGATAAGTTTTTCAACTTACATATCTCTTACCAACTTGAGTTAGAAACAATGAGTGAAAGGTTATTTATGGGTTCTAAGAAAAGTTAATTAAGTCTTAGATAAAATGGACAGAGGAGCTTTCATATAAATATCAAATTTGAAAATATTATTATGAAAAACTCCTACTAAATAGTTCTGCCATCATTGATTACAGACATTATAATAGCTAATCTATCTCTAATCTATTATGCTTATTAAGAGCAGGAGTAGTGATAAGAATTTAACCAAGTCTTGTCATATAGGTTTGACAAAATTGTATCTCTGTCATACTTGCCATATTCCCTATTTTTGAAAATTTTCTTTGTGTTAGGAAATATCCTCAGAATTTTAACATAATAAATAATATAATTGCATTGCAGTTTGTAGAAAATCAAGAGATAATCCCTAATTGCTTGTAGAAAATTCTGATTTCATTACTCATATACAATTCATTTCATCTACCTGTGACTCATGATCAACTAACTCATATTAAAGAAAAATAAAGTTCTATAGTAAGAGGCAGAACAAAAGCCTATTGCCACAAAAGCCAACATAATAGAGGCAAAAAACAAAGTTTACTTTGGATTGCTGAGCACAAGTATTTTTCCTAGTGATTACTAATCAACAAATGACATATGTTTAATAAGATTAAATGGACATTTAAACATAATAATACAATTTATTTCATATTTCATCATGTCAACATAGACTACCATAATTATCTATCTCAATATGAAGCAAGCAAATTTGCAAATGGAATTATAAGTGAAATTTCTACAAAAATGTTCACTTTACCTATGTATACATACATACATACATACATACATATATATATATATATATATATATATATATATATATTCAATTATAATTTGCGTACATAAATTCAATTACTTCCAATACTTGCAAAGAGACTTTCTCCTTTGACCTTTATTTTGGTTCCTTTCAGATTTGACGTTACACTATATTTAATGAAGTGTGGGTGATAACCCTTCGTCACTACTCCTACATTGAAGAAGTTTTATTAAAGAAGAGAAGAAGCTTTATTGAAGAAATTAAAATGCTTCAATACATTAACATGTTTCCTCTCCTATTTATACAAATTAGGAGAAAGGATTTCCCTCAAAGAAAGATTTTCTTATATAGTTGCGAAAATCTTATCTTCTATCAGCTATCAGATGACAAGTCATCGTTTCGGTATCGTTTGTTTAAAGAGAGCTACCTCTTCCTCCTCTTTGTCTCACACACACGCACGTATTGAGCTCTTCCCCATAAGCAGAATGGCTGTTTCCAAGGCTCAGCTTTCTGCAGGTCTCTGCTTGCTTGGCCTCCTCTTGTGTGCCTCTTGCGCTTCGGCTGCTGCTGCTTCTTCAGACTTCATGATCTTCTCCCTTACGGTCACCCTCTCTTTCTTGCATGCATTGATGCGTTAAGCTCGGAGGGAGAAGTTGCTTCATCTCTGCAACGTTTGACGTCCTTGCCGTCGCTGCACAGTGGCCAGGGACTCGGTGCCAACCAGCTTGGGACGGGGAGGACGCTTGCTGCGTCGACCCCGTTGATCGACGACCCGGCGCTGGACTTCCTCGTGGAGGCCATGCAAACCCACAATAGCATCACCGATGAACTCTGATAGAAAATTACGATAAAATCACATATGGAATAAATTTAAAGATCGATCATAAATTTCTGATCTATGATTACGTGATTTAAATTATTGATCGAAGAAAATCTCTCCTTTATATAAATACTCCTCCTCGTTCCTCGTTGTCTGATAAGAACAATCCCTCCTGTTCATTGATTACCATTGTCGGTTTCCTTCCTTGCTCGGTGTTATCTCTTATACGTCAATACTGCTCACAGATCCACAACCATCAATATTGCTCGCAAGCAAATCTGATATCAATCCAGTGGTTGCCCCTACATCTCTTCGACGATTGTGCCCTGCTCACAAATTGTGACATACTCGGACACCAATTGGGTAGATCCTAGCCACGACCCGAAGTTGGGATTATCAGAGCTCCTATCGCTCCCCCCGCTACCACCCAATAGGTCAGCGACGCCACTTACCTCCATGAGGAGCACATTGCCGACCTCATCGCCATAGCCATTGTCGTAACGATGGCATACCCAGGAGCCGTTAGTCGCAGTAGGAGATTTGACGATCAATTGATGGGCGCCAACGCAAACTCCACCAGCTATGACGATGATTACGACGATAGATGGAGGGAGCTGATGCAGGGGATTTGGAGCACATGAGCTGGGGTTAGCGTCGCAGTCCGCCACCATCGAGTATGTCACCAAAAGTTAAAATTATCTTTTTATCTTTTATTTCCGTCAGTATAACTAACATCGTCAGGAGAATTAGATCTAAATGTTTTACTTTCGTAACTATAAGGATATCAATATAAAATTTTAAAGTGTAAGAATCGAAACGTT